AGGTCCCGGTGTCCTATCATCTCCGACATATACAATGTGCATGCAGGAGAAATTTGTTGAATATGCACTTACATAGAGAAAATTGATACATCTGTGTTTAATTAATGTATTTAATATTATATGTGCATTATGCAAACTGTTATAAAAAATAATAGTGTTATACATATCTTTAACACGTAAAATGCAATGTAACATAAATACTAAATTTTAAAATTTGTTGTCGAAAGTTTTGTTGTCGAGTGCCGCTACAGCAATTATACAGATTAAGGCCCGCATCATCGATGCCGCATCATCGATTTCGGTGATATTTGAATGTATTGTCACAATCATAATTTTGCACACCTTTCCTATACATATAACCTTGGCTCGGCTTTAGATTTCGAGGTATCCATGAAAAATGTTTTTACATTTGCACTTTGATGTGGGCTAGATGCCGCTTAGGTTTGCTTTATGTTTATCTACGGTCAAGATTATATTACATGCCCGTGCCACGATGCGTTTATAGTGAAAAGAAAATCAAAACCGATAATCGAAGGTTTCGTAGAAATCTTTATTTAATATCATGGACAGTAACGTATATAAGAAGAAAGCATAAAAATAACATTTTGTAAAGGTTAAGTTACCATAAACAATTTTCAAAAGTTTTGAATTCCATTTTACTCATATGTAACAAAAAGTATTCATTGTTTTGCACAATATTTTTAACATTATAACTTTTTATCTTTAAAAATGTTTCTATTACTGTGTCCAAAATCCTTTAATTTGCTGAACCAGATTAAGTCGTTTTAACATACTTTTTATTAAGGGAGGGACTCACCACAAGAGGGACTTCTACGTTTTATTGGTATTTTAAAATATTAAGCATTTTATAAAATGCAATGTTTCAGGAAAAGTTGTTTTATTAAGACTGTTACTTTTATTATTTAAATCTATTAATATACTGGAATACTGGTATATCTTGGGAAGTAATTTAATATCAATTTACTCTTTTGCGCGTTTGAGCCTAAAAATTGGATGAAAAAAAGCTTCATAAAGGTTGTTTTCAAAACTAAACGTAATACCTTTCGTATTTTTTTTCACCTTTCGTGTTTTCGTTAATGGTGATACGGAGAATAACCTTTAACGGCATGGTGTGGAGAAAATCGATTCGTAATGTTGTAATATTTTTGGAAATCAGGCGATCGATTCGTGAAAACTCAAGAATCGATTTTTTAATTCTTCTTCCGTATCTCCTAAAAACTCTCCGCTTCTAATCCCCCTTCTCTTTCTCTTTCTAACTCTTAACTTGCTTTTCTTTTTCTTTGTTCTCCATCTTCGCTTCTCGAAGTCCTGTTTTACTCC